ATAGAATCTTTGTTAGACTAGCCTGCTTCTCACTTGTTACATGTTCATTTTCTTGTGATATAAAACATTAATACAAGTATTGAATCTTCATTAGCCTAGCCTGCTTCTCTCTTGTAACATGTTCAATTTCTTGTGATATAAAACATTGATACAAGTATTGAATCTTCATTATTCTAGCCTGCTTCTCTCATGTAACATGTTCAGTTTCTTGTGATATGAAACATTAATACAAGTATTGAATCTTTGTTAGACTAGCCTGCTTCTCACTTGTAACATGTTAAATTTCTTGGAATATAAAACATTAATACAAGTATTGAATCTTCATTAGCCTAGCCTGCTTCTCTCTTGTAACATGTTCAGTTTCTTGTGATATGAAACATTGATACAAGTATTGAATCTTCATTAGCCTAGCCTGCTTCTCTCTTGTAACATGTTCAGTTTCTTGTGATATAAAACATTAATACAAGTATAGAATCTTCATTAGCCTAGCCTGCTTCTCTCATGTAACATGTTCAGTCTCTTGTGATATAAAACATTGATACAAGTGTTGAATCTTCATTAGCCTAACCTGCTTCTCTCTTGTAACATGTTCAATTTCTTGTGATATAAAACATTAATACAAGTATTGAATCTTCGTTAGCCTAGCCTGCTTCTCTCATGTAACATGTTCAGTTTCTTGTGATATAAAACATTGATACAAGTATTGAATCTTCATTAGCCTAGCCTGCTTCTCTCTTGTAACATGTTCAGTTTCTTGTGAAATTAAACATTGATACAAGTGTTGAATCATTGTTAGCCTAGCCTGCTTCTCTCTTGTAACATGTTCAGTTTCTTGTGAAATTAAACATTGATACAAGTGTTGAATCATTGTTAGCCTAGCCTGCTTCTCTCTTGTAACATGTTCAATTTCTTGTGATATAAAACATTAATACAAGTATTGAATCTTCGTTAGCCTAGCCTGCTTCTCTCATGTAACATGTTCAATTTCTTGTGATATGAAACATTAATACAAGTATAAAATCTTCATTAGCCTTGCCTGCTTCTCACTTGTAACACGTTCAGTTTCTTGTGATATAAAACATTAATACAAGTGTTGAATCTTCATTAGCCTAGCCTGCTTCTCTCTTGTAACATGTTCAGTTTCTTGTGATATAAAACATTGATACAAGTGTTGAATCATTGTTAGCCTAGCCTGCTTCTCTCTTGTAACATGTTCAGTTTCTTGTGATATAAAACATTAATACAAGTATTGAATCATTGTTAGCCTAGCCTGCTTCTCTCTTGTAACATGTTCAGTTTCTTGTGATATAAAACATTAATACAAGTATAGAATCTTTGTTAGACTAGCCTGCTTCTCACTTGTTACATGTTCATTTTCTTGTGATATAAAACATTAATACAAGTATTGAATCTTCATTAGCCTAGCCTGCTTCTCTCTTGTAACATGTTCAATTTCTTGTGATATAAAACATTGATACAAGTATTGAATCTTCATTATTCTAGCCTGCTTCTCTCATGTAACATGTTCAGTTTCTTGTGATATGAAACATTAATACAAGTATTGAATCTTTGTTAGACTAGCCTGCTTCTCTCTTGTAACATGTTCAGTTTCTTGTGATATAAAACATTGATACAAATATTGAATCTTTGTTAGCCTCGCCTGCTTCTCACATGTAACATGATCATTTTCTTGTGATATAAAACATTAATACAAGTGTTGAATCTTCATTATACTAGCCTGCTTCTCTCTGGAGTTTAGTGGTGGGCCACAGTGACGAGTGTCCTCCACCACAAGTCTCTGGACAATAATAATTTTTACTCTTCCGAAACCATTGTGAAGAGAGGCAGGAATGGATGTCTGTGATTTGAGAAGGGTGCTAAATAATTAGCATTAATATTGAGCATGGAAACTGTGTTTGTTCAGGGTTGTGTATACAGTATAACATCAGCTGTTGTTAGGTGGTCAGATTTTGTCTGTCTGGATGTATTCTTTTGTTAAACAGTCAAGTTTTGTCTGTCTCTATGTGATCTTTTGTATGTTTACTTCATATTTTGTCATTAATATTTATGAAGACATAAATGTGGAAGCTTTCACCTTAAAGCTTTGCATTATTATTATTCAAACACAGATTTTCTGTTGTTTAATACATCTTTGTTCACACACAGATTTTCTGTTATTTAATACGTCTTTGTTCACACAAAGATTTTCTGTTATTTAATACGTCTTTGTTCACACACAGATTTTCTGTTATTTAATACATCTTTGTTCACACACAAATTTTCTGCTATTTAACACGTCTTTGTTCACACACAGATTTTCTGTTATTTAATACGTCTTTGTTCACACACAGATTTTCTGTTATTTAATACGCCTTTGTTCACACACAGATTTTCTGTTATTTAATACGTCTTTGTTCACACACAGATTTTCTGTTATTTAATACATCTTTGTTCACACACAGATTTTCTGCTATTTAATACGTCTTTGTTTTTAATTAACAAATTCAACCTGTCTAGAACTCTTAATGAGCACAAAACAGTTATGAACTATATGGTATTACTTGCAGGGGGTGGAGATCTAGGAGATACAAGCTCTTCAGAACAACTACCACCATCTCCAGCAACCTCCAGCCAATAACTTCCAGGCTGTTCACCAAGTGGCAAAAGATCTTCATAGTTATATTTTAATCTAAGGTTCTTCACAACACGTGCATTTAATTTTTTATGTGACCTGAGATGCACTATGTAACTGCAGTAAAATCATTATTTACAACATGATCATGTTTTATTGTACTGGAAAGAATTCTTGTTAGATTTGATATCTACTAAAATCTTGAATCATTCCTGTTCAGGGGAGATTTATAAACAAATGTTACTTACATTTTAACTTGTATCCGATTCAGTTGGTCTTATTTGATTTTTGTGAACTACCAGTATTTTCTGTACGCTTCTTACTCAGAAATTTTGTCTCCAGTTTCATTTAATGTAAACTAAATCATTTGGGTTTAGATATTGTACTATAGCTGTATGGATTTGGTATTCATTCTCAGTAACCCAGCTTTGACCTACCTATTCTGAGGTGATTTCACTGAATATGTCTGGAGTGTAATGGAGAAATGAGGGAAGTATTTACAAACATGCTTTAATTGATTGTATTAGATGTTCAGTACTTCACCTTGGCTTACAGAATACGAATTATTTATTTCAAACTTTGTATTATTAAAGTTTCAGAACAGTGGATGAATATAGTACCATGGTAAGGTTTATCATATCTTAGGTTGAAAAAAACACACAATTACTTGGTTTCATTATGTATGTTCATTACTTCATTCTTAAAATACGTTTCTTTTTTTGAAGAGGTTAGTGATAATACTTTAACAAAAATTTAATGTGTCAGAACTTTTACTGTTCTGAACTTGTATCCAACATAATACCAAACTCTTCAGTTGAGGTAGGTGTGTTGTGACTTAGTTCTGTTCGTGTAGTTTCTTTATTTCTTCATAAAGAGTGAATAAAGTATTTGTATGAATTTTGTGCTGGATTTGATTTTAAAAGTTATGTAAAGATTGAAGATAACACTAAAAACAGTTCAGAACTTTATATACAAACTGGATGGGTAGTTACAAAAATCATGTTTCTTACCCAACCCTATTGGACACTTTTCATGGCTACTTACCCAACCCTATTGGACACTTTTCATGGCTATTTACTCCACCCTATTGGACACTTTTCATGGCTTCTTACTCAACCCTATTGGACACTTTTCATGGCTACTTACTCCACCCTATTGGACACTTTTCATGTTTCTTACTCAACTCTATTGGACACTTTTCATGTTTCTTACTCAACCCTATTGAACACTTTTCATGGCTTCTTACTCAACCCTATTGGACACTTTTCATGTTTCTTACTCAACCCTATTGGACACTTTTCATGGCTTCTTACTCCACCCTGTTGGACACTTTTCATGTTTCTTACTCAACCCTATTGGACACTTTTCATGGCTTCTTACTCAACCCTATTGAACACTTTTCGTGGCTTCTTACTCCACCCTATTGGACACTTTTCATGGCTACTTACTCCACCCTATTGGACACTTTTCATGTTTCTTACTCAACCCTATTGGACACTTTTCATGGCTACTTACTCCACCCTATTGGACACTTTTCATGTTTCTTACTCAACTCTATTGGACAATTTTCATGCACAAGTTTATACAAAAGCACTGTCATGCCTTTACAAGATTTCTTTTTCTTGTGATTAATATTTTATGCGATTATAACATGATCATAAACATTTCCTTGGATGTTCTTTTAACATACTCCCTTTCCCGGAGTTTCACATTTATTTACTGTTGGTAAATAACTTAGGTATCAACATTCTGATACTTCCTGTAAACAAAAAGGACTTCGTTATAACTACTGGTCTTTCTTCACATTATGTATTTGAATAACTAAGAAGAAAAAAGGGTAGCCCATCCCACTGGACCTTCTTTATAAATATATCCACGATTTGACACAAGATTTCGGTTTTAACAGAATGAATAAAAAAGTCATTAAACAACTATTTTAACAAGATAATTCTAGGAATGCTTACATGTGGACGTACATAGCATTCGAAATCTGTACCTACTTGTTTTTGTATACATTTCTTAGTTACTCAGATTGGTACACTGACTAAACTAGAGGAAAAAACGTTACTTGCTTAATTAGAATAAACTGGAGCTTTAAAGCATGAACGGTTATGTTACAAAATGTCAGTGATGTTTTTATCAACACGTCCACATTTGAAACCTTGATATCAATCAACTGCCAACGAAACGTCATTGAACGAGCCCGAAATGTCCGATTTATCTCTACTTTCGTCGTACTCGGATTCTCATGATATGATTCCTGACAGCTGTTATCACGAGCCGGCGAATGTGTATTTTAGATCTTACAATTGGAATGTTATTGTTCCATTAGAATCAAAACATATCTTGAACTTACAGTTTACTCACGTCCAACGTTTTTCATCTCTAATCTCCAGTGTTTCCTTCACTCTGGCGAAATCCTAACGTGTATTATCACATAAAGTATAAACCTGGTTTTCAGGGGGACACTGGCTGTCTTCACCGAGTTAAAGTTTTTTAGTCGTCGGGGTTGCACATATCAACTTTGTTATGAACTATGACGAACAGTTTTTTCATCCTTGTACAGAAGACAGAGGGTCGCGATGACCAAAACCCGAACGCGGAGTCTTTTAGTTTGTCCAGCTGACAAATACTGGTATGGACGTTGCTTATGAACGTGTTATCCAAAACTCTGATAACTAAACGTCGAATATACAGGGTGGGTCATGACAAACCCCAGTACAAGAATATTACGCTCACAGTGCCAGGTTTTGAGATATATAGTATAAATATTTCACTAAATAAACAACCCTTACAATGCCAGGTTTAGGGGTAAATAATATAAATATTTCACTAAATAAACAACCCTCACAGTGCCAGGTTTAGGGGTAAATAATATAAATATTTCACTAAATAAACAACCCTTACAGTGCCAGGTTTAGGGGTAAACAATATAAATATTTCACTAAATTAACAACCCTCGCAGTGCCATGTTTAGAAGTATACAATATAAATATTTCACTAAATAAACAACCCTCACAGTGCCAGGTTTAGGGGTAAATAATATAAATATTTCACTAAATAAACAACCCTTACAGTGCCAGGTTTAGGGGTAAACAATATAAATATTTCACTAAACAAACAACGCTCACAGTGCCAGGTTTAGGGATAAACAATATAAATATTTCACTAAATAAACAACCCTTACAGTGCCAGGTTTAGGGGTAAACAAT